TTCAGGGTAGGAGCTGAAGCCCTTTAACCTTCCCCCCCCCCACGCCCCTCCCTCCTCTCACAAACTTAGTTTGTAGGCAACTGTGTTTGAATGAATTGGAAACACAAACATCACCACTAACAGAAGATCTTTCCCAAGTAGTAGAAAGAAGGACATTTATGTGTACAAGCACTGGTAGCTTAATGCTGTATCTGTGTGGCTGGCAGACCAACCGCAAACAACATTGTCTTTCATAGACTCATAAAATCCTAGGGCTCGAAGAGACATCAGTAGGTCATCAAGTCCAGGCCCCTGCCCAAAGCAGGACTAATCCCAACTGAAACAGCCAGAATTTAAAAATCTCTAGGGATTTCCACCTCCCTAGGTAAGCCATGCCAGTTCTTCACCACCCTCTTAGGGAAATGGTTGGGTGTTAGCAAAAATGTAGACCTCCCCCACTATAACTTAAGACCATTGCCTCTTGTTCTGCCATCCGTCACTACTGAGGACAGCCTCTCTCCATCCTCTTTGGAACCTCCCTTCAGGAAGTTGAAGGCTGCTATCAGATCCCCGCTTACTCGTCTCTTCTTCCGACTAAATAAGCCCAAATGCCTCAGCCATGTGCTCCAGCCCCCCTAATCATTTTGGTTGCCCACCACTGAATCTTCTCTAATGCATCCATATCCTCTGTGTAGTGGGGGGCCCAGAAATGGATGCAATACTACAGACGTGGCCTCACCAGTGCTGAGTAAAGGGGAATAATAACTTCTCTAGATCTGCAAAAAGCACATTACATCAATGCAAAAGGCCATGTTTTCCAAAAAGCTCAAATGTACTTTCAGTAATACTCTTAGTCCAGACCGGAGCTCTAACAGAAGGGGGGAGGGAGGGGAGACTGATTGTTTTAAGTCTCCCACAAGGTCTCTCACTGACCTAGAATCTAGAAGCATGCCCATCAACTCTACTAATTAAGCATGAACAAACGGTTGATTTGTCTTAAGGTATCTTGAGTCCCAAGGAAGACAAAAGATCAATTAGGACCTCTTGCCCACTGCAAGCCACAGAACCTCACACAGCTTGGTGGCAGTAGGCCTATAATCTCTGTGTTACTGAAATTCTCAAGCCTTGATTTAACAATTTTAAGTTAAAGAATCTATTTATTCTAGTTCAAACCCACAAGTGATCCATGTTCCTTACTGCAAAGGAACCAAGAGGATGTCTCCAGTCTGACATGGGGAAAAATGCTTTCCCAACCATAAATACAATGATCAGTTAGACTCTGTGCATGTGGACAAAACCCACCATCCACACACCTGTGAAAAAATTCTCTTTAGCACTGTTTCCCAAATGGTGTTCCGTGGAACCCCAGGGTGCCACTAAGTGAAAATAAGGCTTCTGCGAGAAAAATCCATTACAACAACATTTTATTATTGAAAAAAATAATTAATATTTAAGCATTTATGAATTTTATTAACAATTTTCATATGTGTTTGCCACCATACATGTCCCTGTATAATGCCAGCTTAGCCAGAGAGTGGGGACAATGATGTCACTACTCAGCACTGATGTCCATAGATTAGACTTATTAGGGATTCCGCAAAATTCTTGAGTTTAAAAGGGTTCCATGGCCAAATAAAGCTGGGGAACACTGCTCTTTAGAAATGGAGAGCACCATCCATCCAGTCTCTAGTCATTCAACATACTTGCTAACACATGAGGGTAAGCAATACACCATTGTAGAAAACTTCACCACCCTTCCCACTCTATTAGCTATCAAGTACAATCTTAAAACTACTAAGATTGTTAGCCCCTACTATTCCTCTTGGAATGTTGTTCCAGAACTTCACTCCTCTGATTGCTAGAACCCTGACTAATTTCAACCCTAAACTTGTTGGATAATTTATATCCATTTGTTCTTGTACCAACTTAAATAACCCCTTTCCCTTTCTCCATTTATTGATAGCAATCCTATCACCCCTCAGTCTCTATTTTGCTACACTAAGCAAGTCAAGTCTCTCATAAGGTAGGTTCTCCATTCCTCTAGTCACCCTGATAGCCCTTCTCTTCATGTGTCACAATTTGAGGTCAGGTTTCTTACACCTAGGAAACCAGAACTGCACACTGAATTCCAGGTGAGGTCTCACCAGTGCCTTGTACAAACACATCCTATCTCTAACAGAAATACCTTGCCTAAAGTGCAACTGCCATTCTTCAGATGCTTGATTCCCCACATTCTTGACATCTAACAAAGTAGCTTTCCATACTAATTCATCCACCTTGCATTGTTTCTAGACTTTCAGCTTTTTCTTACTCAGCTGTTCATATGCTTGTTCATCCAGTTTGATATGCAACCCTTCCCTATAACTATTTGCCTCTTGCTTGGGATGCAAGTTTCAGAAAATTTCAGCAACTTTTACTTAAATAACTCCAAACTTCTTCCCCATTCATATTTTAGGATTGAATAACTAGTCTTACTGTACTTTAAAAAAGTTTTTCCTGCTGGACCACAGAGTGACGACATGTGCCACTCTGTCCTCTGCAGCCCCCCTCCTCTTCCCAATGTTCTATGGGAGCCGTGAGCCATGCAGCCTGCTCCATTCTTCAACCTGCCCCAGTGATCCTGGGACAGCAGGGAGGCACAAGCTGTGTGGCTCTCAGGGGATGCAGCTCCCCCCTCCCACAGTGCTCCAGGGAGAGGCCCCACGGCTGCCCTCCTTTGCCCTCTCCCCCTCCCCCATGACCCTCTATCGGCTCCACACTATATGGGCTGGGGTTTAAACCCTCCCCCTCCAGCCAACTCCACACCACATGGGCTGGCGGTTAACTCTTCCCCCACATGCCACCGGCCCCTGAGCGTCCCTTTGGCAACCACCATGTGGGTTGGGGCTGCCGGAAGTTAAACTGAAACGTGTGGCTCCTCTGCAGGGGAGAAGAAGCATGCAGGAGCTCGAGAGCTCAGGTGATGGGGCGGGAGGATGCATGGGAGCCTTGGGGACTCAGGTAAGGGGCAGAGGGGCGCATGGAAGCTGCGTGATCTCTCGGGGTTTGGGAAGGCATGCACAGGGCGAGGGGGAACCATGCAACCTTCAAGGGCTTGGGAGCTGCAGAGCCTTGCAGAGGCTCAGGTGAGGGGAAGGGGATGAGCAGGACATGTGTGATGTCACCAGTGATCTGGAGAGCAGGGGGCACAAGAGACGCACGGCCTCTCCCCTCTGCAGTGCAGAGCCCTATATCCTCCCCCCACATGGCCAGAAGGAGAGGGCAGGGCGCCGTACACGGTTCCTCCTCACCACCAGCGGGCAAGAGCCAGGCCAGCCTCAATCTGTCCCAACACTCAGCTCTCCTCCCCCCTAGTGTCTGGAAGGGGGAACACTGGGACAAAACAGGGCTGCTACACCTCAACTTAGCCCTCGGTGGTAGCTGGGTGAGAGCCGGAGCTGCTACCCCTAGAAAAGGAGACTGGCGAGTGTAGTGAGCAGGGGGCACCGACCCCTTGATGCCTTAACTTTTAAAGTTTCCATTTTTTAAATCAAGGGGCCCTAGCTGCCAACCTTTTTTGATTAATTATCCATTTAAACTGAACTGAAATTAACTCAAGGAAGAACAATCTCAGTTCTAGTCTTGTGCTATGAAAATCTGATGCTTCCCATAGCATTTAAAGATGGAAATATGTAAGTATGCATCCTTCCACTTGAGAGTGACAAACTACAGACAGAGGCTCACAAGCCTGATAGATATTTCCAGGGCTCAACAAACCGTTGAATCTACTCACCCATGGCAAGTAGATTTCAGCCGGTCACTCCATGCGCCCCATTCACCAGCACTTCACACATGCGCGGTGCCGGTCTGGCGCATGCGCGGTGCTGGCGAGTAGCTCTCACCGGGGTTTGTCAAGCCCTGGCTATTTTTATATACAGATTTATGGTCAAACAGCCAAAAGAGCTATTATGCCATCTATAATGACTTCCTATATATCACAGACCATAAAATTTCACCCCAGACACCCCCTGCTAACTCCAGTACAGTAACTCCTCACTTATCCTTAGTGTTATGTTCCTGAAAAATACAACTTTAAGCAAAATATTTTTAAACTAATCCAGTTTTCCCATAAGAATCAAATGTAAAGGGGGTACGGATTAGGTTCCAAGGAAATATTTTGAGACAGACAAAAGGCATTATATACATTAGCAATGTATATTTTATACCAACAAAATAATACTACTTTCAGCAATGATGATTGCAAAACTTGGTCGAGGCGAATGGAGTCAAAGGGTGGATTATCTAGGTGCTCCTCTTGCTAATGCTTCTGAATTTAAAAAAAAAAAAAAACCTAGAGATTGCTGGTTTGCTTTCCCTTTTCTTGATAAATTTCTTGTATCAAGTCATTATGTTATCAATTCCTCTACACAATTTGTAGTTGCATTCCCTGTCAGGATAATCTTCACTAATGACTTGCAAGCCAGGTTCAATTATTTGGAAAGCTTCAGACAGATATTTGGCAATCATATTTCAATGGGTTGGTTCTTTTACTTCTTTGCCATCTTCTTCCACTGCTCATATTACCTTAGCAGTTAATGGAGCACCCATTCATAGGATGTTAAACAAAAAAAGTACAAGCTAATATTTAGCACTATTTTATCAAGCCTTCCTTCCCTAGCTGGTTAACCCAATTTTTTCCACACCTCAAATGTGATTACTACATCTATTATGAGGTTTGTTTCAGACAACAATACTAGTTACCCAAATGAAGCAGTGGTAATTGGTACCAAGTGCTGCAATTTCAAAACCAATGAACAACGCTGAGATTTTTACTGGATGCATTTAGACATATCAAACCAGTAACGGTTTTCCCAGTTGAGTTGGATTTTATCAGTTATATTTTTGCTTTTCAGTCAAACTGGCTGTATTAAAAACAGTTTAATGCCAGTTTCTACCAGCACTGAAGCTAAGCTAATGTTAAAGTTCCGGAAATACTGGGTTAGTCACCAAACACAGCAGAAGCAAAATTGAAATAGTCTTACCATATCATCTGTCAGTGTCTTGATATTTAAATGCTGTAAATTAAGAAAAAAAGTCATGTCACTACCTTGCATTATAAATAACAGTCATTTTATTTCAGTGGATTTTAAGAAAAGATCTCCAAAAAAAGCAAGAATTCAGTGTGATTGAATCCTTAAAACTATTTTAATAAAAACTCATTTGAAATTAGTATCTAACAAGGAACCATGTTAGTATTTCTAACTAGGTTTCTGGGACTTCAGGGGGGATTTGCTTCCTTGGGTGAGGGTATTTTTCATGGTGCTGCTGCCTTAGAATTGGCAACAAATCATTTGAGAGAAAGAACTATTTATATTTCCCAATATCAAACAAAACTGTATTTACCAGAATTTCTTGACTGAAAAGCAAGTAAAGGCAATACCATACTAGTACCACCTAATTCGATTTAGGGGCTTTATTCCGGAATCCCGTTTCACTGCCGCATGGAGATGCAGGCAGTTATTTCGGGCTAGTCAATTTCTAAAATGGCGACTGGCCAGGAACATGCAAATCAAGCACGGGATATTTAAATCCCGGGATTGATTTGCAATTCCCGTCGCCCACATTAGCCTCCCTAGATGGATCTAGGGGGCTAGTGCAGATGTACCCTAAGGGAGGAAGACTCAGTCCCGGCTTGCGCCAGGTCCAGGAGCTACCTCCCAGCTGCAGCTTAAATGTAGTAAGAGTAGAAGGAGCTAGGCTTCCTGGCCTTCAAACTACAGAGCTGCAGCATGGGTAGGTCCTGAACCCGGTATGAGCTGGGACTGAGCAAGCCTGGCTCAGTCCCAGCTCACTCCAGGTCCAGCATCCTTTTTCCATATGGGTTCCCCCCAGGGAACTGGGACCCTCCGCAGACAGGTGCATCTCCACAGCCACAGATAATGGGCTGACAGCATACGGAGCAGCCCCTGCCCTCAGCAAGCCTGGGCCCACTGAGGGCACTGATAGAGCCAGAGATGGTGCCGGGGGGAGGGGAAGAACAGCAGCTTTTAATCCAGCTGCCCCCAACTCCAACTCCTGCTCTCCCCCCCCACCCCCAACCTTGCTGCTTCTGATACACTGACAGCAAGGGGGAGGGGCAGGAATGTGAATAGTCAACTCCGCAACTACACCCTTATACCCGTACTTCCCACTACTCTCTGAACTTAGAGACAGCACATGGACACGCACCCCCACATGTACCATTTTCCTCACATTCACTCTCTGAACACATACTAATCTGTCTCTCTCCCACATATACTCCTATCACACCCTCTCTCCCCTCCACACTTCAGTGGAAAAGTGGCTGGCAATCTAATAGTATGCCTATGGAACAAGCAGATTGAGAAACCTGCTTCATGTAATATTTTATGTGCCTCATGTGGCACTGCAAACCCTTCCCAAAGCACCCTGCAGCTAAGTGTACAGCAGGATAGCTACTCACAGCACACTGCAAGACCTGCTAGTGTAGACGCACTCTTCTGACTCCAAGCATAGCAAGGATATATAATAGAAGTTTAATTGAAGCAGAGTATTTCTATGACAAAAAACTCTGAAGTGTACACTAAGTTTGAGTTTTTACTGACCAAGAAAAAGCATTTTTTAGTCAAGATTTTTAGTGGACAGAAAAGGTAACGAAAGGACATTCATTAGTTAGGTTATGTCTACACTACAAAGAAAAGTCGGAAAATGATATGCAAATTGCGAACTGCAATTTTCCCCTTTTCTTCCTAAACAGGCTTTTCCAATATTTGGCCTATCTACACAGGGCCAAACATCGGGAAAAAACCCTTTTTCAGAACATGCCTTCTTCGTCGTAAGACAAGTTTGACAGGGATGCCGACAAAACATGTCCGCTTTTCCAACTTCTTTCTGGAAAAGCGGACGCGTTCCTTGGACGTGGCAGAGCTTTTCCGGAATACCTCCAAGAAAAGCTCTGTAGTCTAGACGTACCCTAGGTCTCTTCCTCTGCAAGGTAGTATACTGCAACAGACGATGCTGCCCAACATACTGTTAGATAGTTGTTTGCTCATGGTCATGTGCTTGTCAATTGTGGTTGTGGGGTTTTCATAAATTAATCCTAGGTTCCCTTTCTTTTTTAATAAAAGTTTTCTTTTGTAAGCCACAGACTCAATACTTGCAAGTGGGTAAGTGCCGCTTCTTAGAGTGGCCTTTATGTGTTGAAATATCCCCCAGACTTCTCTCGAGTACCCCTAAGGGTACTCGAACCACTGTCTGAGAAACACTGCTAAATATAAACAATTGTATCACACTTTGAAATTGAACAAATTTAATGTGCAAGTCACTGACATCAAATTAAACTTCATAATGCTTGTCTTTTTTAAAAGCATTGCATTCAAATTGCTCTATACTACAAGCAACCTGCTTGGGTTTTTCACCCAATAGTGAAAAGAGCTAACTACTAAGGAAACATTACACTCCACCTGGAACTATTATTCGCACCAGGGATAGACAGATACATTACTTGTGCTCAACTAGCATGGTGGAAATAGTGTAGCTCAAAATAACAGGGATGGCAGCTCAATCTAGCCATCTGAGTACAAACCTGCCTTGACCCACTCAGTATGTACTTAAGTGGCTATTCTAGGCCACTACCTCTTATCTACACAGCTGTTTTCAGAACACCTGCTTATGTCTGCCTACCTAGGAAGCAAACTCCTGGCTGCAAGAGTTAAAAAGCACTGGGTTATCTTGTTCACCATCCACGCAACCAAGGGCTGCATAATCCCTAGATTACAGGAGCAGGAAGTAACATTCTGAGGTCAGAAGGGATCAGCCTGGCAAAGAACCAGAAACTGAGGCTGAACAGAAACTTGATGCAAGAAGCCTGGGAACTGGCTATGGATGACAAGCTGAATAGCAGGCAGCCAGAGAGCTGAGACACAGTCAGAAAAGTAGCCTTATTGGTAGGGATGTAAGCAACTATTCGACTGTCCGATAAGCAAAAGCTTTTTGAATAGTTGACTAGTCCCTCAACTAGTCGTTTCTCTCCAACTCTTGCTGTCTCTATCAGAAGCGGCAAGAGAGGGGAGCACGAGCTGCAGGGAGCTGGCTTAAAAGCCAGTTCCACCAGAACTATCTCTGCAGGGGGGCAGAGGAAGCTGGGTAGTAGCAAGAACTGGGCACAAGCCAGGAATCAGCTGATTCCCAACTTGCATCCAGTCTCAGACACTGCTCTTCTGCTTTTTACATGTATTGAAGAGCCTGCCAGCTCTTAATACATTTAAAAGGCAGAGACACAGCGGGGTTAGCTCCTGGAACCAGGAGCTAACCCTGCTGCAGTTCCCATGCTTATCAACTAGTCAATGGAAAATCCATCAACTAGTCAATTAATTGATTAAACTGAATTTAACATCCCTACTTATTGGTGGCATAGCATATGTGGGATAACTCAACATATAGACAGCAGATGAGTGTGGAAATACATACTATTATCCTGGACTGCCCCTAAGTACTTTATTAGGAATTGTTCATTGACTGTTTTAACTACTAGAAAAAGTTATCTTGGGTATGTCTGTAGCTTTTATTTCTAGCAACACTTAAAAGGAAAATGGAGAATTCTTGCTACGGTCCTGGGCTGAATCCCAAACTCTGATCAAGGGTACTCAGTACTGTACTGCAAAGCTCCATTCTCTTGAGTCATGCAACTCCACCAACATTTCTTTAAAAACCAATGACTCACCATAAGTTCACTAAGTTTTCATTAGTGAGCAGTAAACTGTTACCATGACTAAGATCATATGAACAGTTAAAATTAATTCATGAAAGAGTAAATTGTAAAATGCTCTTTTACAACTACTAAAGCATTAAATTTACTAAATTAAAATGTGTGGGAGATCAGTTGAAAACTGAGTACTTATTAATTCAAGAAAGAAAGATAAATAACTGTCTCACAAAAGAAAAAATCCAGTCCAAAAATATACTCATCAAGACACACAATCTGCTGTCTTTCCTTTCCATGACAATAAAGATAGTACAGGTTGAACCTCCCAAATCCAGGACTCTATGGTACGGCAACATCCGTGATCCAGCAGGGCCACACATGTTGCTGGACCAAAGAGCCATGGAGATAGAGAGCGGGAGCCAGCCAGGAGAACGCAGGGCTGGGGAGCCCCGGCTAAGTCAGCGGTGGCTGGGGAGCCCCAGCTAAATCAGCGATGGCTGGGGAGCCCCCGACATCCACAGGGCCAGGAAGAGGTGATGCAGTAGTTTGCATGTCAACATTAAAATTCATCTGCCATTTGATCATCTAATTTTTTAAATGCTTTTGAAGCTCTTCACAGTTTGCTGTGGACTCAACTATATGGAGCAGTTTTGTATCATCTGCAACTTTTGCCACCTCATAGGATTACCCTGTCTCCAGATCATTTATGAATATGTTGAAAAGGATTGGTTCCAGTATAGACCCCTGCTGGATGCCATTATTTTATTCCTACCCTATAAAGTAATTTATTTTGAAAAACAAAATTGGTTTGACGCTCAGTAACTATAGAATAAAATCTACTAACTTAAAAAAAAACCACTCTTCCTCGCTAGCAAAAATCTACTGCATAGAGTATCGACAAAAATTTAGCAGTTATGCCAATGTGGTAGACATGCGTAACATCCCACATGGACACTATTATTCCAGTACTTTTATTAGTTTAATTAGGTTAGCTGAAACATCTTTTCAAACAATATGAACTAAAACAGAAAAAATACACTCAGACTAAAATAAGAATACCTGGGGTGTTAGATGTACTGGTGTAACAATGTTGATTTATAAACACACTTTAGGGTTTAGCAAAAACAAAACTATGCTTTGAAGACCGCACCTTTCTAGGCAACAGAAGATGATGTCGTTCCTAAATAGACATATGTAGCCCAGATGACAACGTTCCTCTTCTGCTATCAGATTTTGGCATTAAGTTTGGTCTAGCTGAACTCCCTCCTAAATTACCCATTACACAACCTTCCAAGCACCACTTCGGATTTCTTACGTTTTCCATGAACAACCAGCAGCTCCCGAAGCTTTCTGACTCAGTAGATCAGAAGCACTGGTTTTGAGTTTGCGACAGCAAAGCCATTTACAGGAACGCAGGGGTCCCCAATACAAGACACCCTTTGCAACATACAATATTTGAAAAAGAAGGCGAGTAACGTCAAGCGCTGTTTGGAGCCAGTCCCCCCCCGACACCTCCAAACTGTGACCACACCCACTCGCTCGGGTGAGCGCTAATTAGCAGCCCGAAAAGCAAGAGCAAGAACCACACCCACTCGCTCGGGTGAGCGCTAATTAGTAGCCCGAAGAGCAAGCCCGGCCCCGCCCGGCCCCGAGGAGCGAGCATTGGCAAAGAGCTGCGAAGCAAGCGCAGGGCCGGGCGATGCCGGCTCCGGGATCGGGAGGCGGGAAGGGCCGCGCCACACTTACGAATTTGGGTTTCCTCCCCTCCGCCTCCTCCGCGCCGGGCCGGCTCCCTGCCCCGGGCGGCGCCCTCCTGCGGAGCAGCTTGTTCTCTCGGCTCCCCCGGGCAAGCGGCGGCGGCGAGGAGTCGCTGTAGCGCTGCCGCGACTCCATGGCGAGGGGCGCGGAGCCCGCCTCGCTCGTTGTCCCTCGGCCCGCCCGGCGGGGGCCTGCGATTACAGCGGCTTAGCTGGGCGGCGCAGGGTCAAGCAGCCGCCTGCCCGGGGATTTAGCCGGGAAGCTCCTGTAATCCCGGCCGCGTCCAGCTGCTCGCTCTGCGCCGGCGAAGGAAAATCCCGTTGCACCACAAACGGCTCCAGCGTCCCTCCCAGGTGCAGGAAGGGGGCCGCGTCCGAATTGTCCCGCCACAGGCACTCCCGCCCCGCCTCTGGCGAACCAACCAATCCGGAACCGCGGCCGTTCAAACCTGTCTCTCTATTGGCCGAAACTTCCGTTAATCTCCAGCGAGTCAGCTGTTCGCTAGGCGAGGGAAAACCACAAGCGGTCCGCTTTGAGGCGGCCCAGCCAGACTACATATCCCGAAAAGCAATGCGGAGAGAGCTCGGCGGGTGATGGGCATTGTATTCTGGGAACTGTAGTCGTTCTAGGGGAGCTGCCTTTGCCTGGAGCATGTCGTTAGGGCTGAGAAAGGAGGTGTACCAGGTGTACATGGGGCGGGTAACCGAGGCTGAGCGCTCTGAGCTGTGGACTGTTATTAATTTACTGCTTGGACAAGTCACCTTATGAAAAAAGTGGAGTCCTGTGGCACCTGAGAGACTAAAATATAGGAGATCATGAGTTTCCATGGGGAGAATCGGCTTCATCAGATGACTTGGAATGGAAATAAGAGAACCCAAGATTTTACATGTATATAAAACAACATAAGTACCTAGCAAGTGTAGGATCCTATTAATTAGGCTAATTAAGTGGGCTGGATGTGTCCCATACATAGCTTTTGACATGGAAATACAGATATTAAATGCAGGCTAAATTAGCATTGTAATACACTAACCAGTTAATGTCTTCAAGCCCATGTCAAATCTGAATGATGAATTCCAGTTTTGCAGACTCTCTGTAAGTGGTTAATGAAATTCCTTCGTAGAAGAATGGCTACTTTTAAATCCATAATTGAGTGACCAGACAAATAAACATGTTGACCCACGCAGGTTTATGTGTGTTACCATTTCTGATGTCTGATTTCAGAATTGTTTAGCTGCTTCAGAAAAGTGGATGTGAAATTAAGTTAAATATATGTCCATGTGTGCTGTCAACAAGGGAATTAGTATAGATAAAACCTTATAGCCCATTTCACTCCTGTTGTGTTCATCATCACAAAACTCCTTGCACGTTGTCAGAGCAGCTCCCTCAATTGACTGGATAGTATTAATTTCTGCTATATGCTTTTATTCTTGTATGCTGCCAGACAGGTACAGTGTTGTATGCTGCGTAGAGTGACATCATTTTAGTTGGAATGGTGAATGTTCCTTCTCTAAGAAGCTGTCCCTCAAATGTTTCACACAAAATAAAAACATAAAACTATTCAATTTTCACTCGAGGGCTAACTTTCAAAAATGGAACGCTAACAGGCTATTAACTACTGGAGATTTATTGCAGGACATGATGCTAATGAACTTTGAAGGGCTCAATTAAATTTGATCTACTTGTTCAGTGTTTCTGTATGTACAAGTTTGACATTTCCCAGATTCTATTACTAAAAGAGAAACTTTACTGTGGGACAAGAACTGATTAGGCTGCATACAGTAGGCTAACCAAATGAGCTACTACCGCAATAATTATAATCAGGGCACGACAATCTATTGAATCTACTCGCCCGTGGCGAGTAGATTTCAGCCCTGCGCCCTGTTTACTGGCGGCGTGCACATGCGCAATGCGGCTCTTGCGCATGTGCAATGCGGGGCTGGCGAGCAGCTTTTGTCGCGGTTTGTCAAGCCCTGATTATAATTATATACTAAAATTCTATACACTGGGCTCCATATTTTAACAATCCTCTTAAGAATAATAGCACTTACTGATCTGAGACCTATCATTATTACTATGCATTTCACTATTTTCTTTTAAATATTGAACAAGTATTTAGGTCTATATTTCAGATGTTAAGTGTGATTTTTCAGTTCTCCGTCCTAATACATTATTGTGAAGCTGTCATCATCAGCGTTCCCTCTAACTTGCATGGAAGCACAACTTCACAGGTTATTAATCAGCCCCACCTAGTCAGAGGCTCAGGACTCCATGTATGGAGCTGACTGACTGGGCAGGGCTGATTAATCACCTATGAAGTTGTGCTGCTATGTAGCTTAGAGGGCCTATTGGTTATCATAACAAAAGACTAACAGTGAGATGACAAATTTTGTTCTAAGATTATTTACAAGGAGAACAAGGTGAATTGTAAAGTGACAACATTGGTATGTTAGTGGAGAAACTGTAAGAAAGTTTGTCAAGATCTAACAAAGCAAATTACCAGATGAGGTTACTTCATTAGAATGCACTGCAAAAAGTGGGATGGCTAAACTGATGGTTATTCCAATATTTATATTTACCAAGCCAGCACAAACACATTCTCCCTTATTGGTTAATCAAAAGTGTAAACAATGCAGTTCTCTTAAAGTACCCAGCATCAGGCTTCTAACTGGACACCCAACTCAGATACAGTTCTACCAATCACAGAGGATTGGCCACATTACCTTAGGTCAATGAATATTTCAGACCTTATCCCAAATACAGGCTTATAGTCAATTCTTATTAACTAGACTAAAATTTATTTTAAAATAGAAGAGAGATCAATATGCATACAGACATGAGTTCCATTCTTCAGGTTCAGTTACACAGAGTGCTTGAGTTTGATAGTTGCAGATGGACCTTTTCAGATTAGTCCAAAGTTAAGTCAATTGTATGAATACAAGGACCTTCTGTGATTATGGTTTGCAACTTTCCCTATGAGCATTCAAGCAGATATGAGATGAAAAAAAAGGATCCTGTCCACAAGGATTGCACCTTTGCAGCAGCCTGTTCACCTGGGTTAACACAATAGGCTTTTGATATAACATTCTGTCTCCAAACTATTAGCACAAAGTAATTTATCCATTAAACATTTCATATACAATTTACCGCAATCTTCCAAGACATAATAACATTAATACAACGCTAACCAAGTTTCATCATAAACAGGGCTCGCCGAACCGCGATGAGCCCCACTCGCCAGCCACGCTGTCCGGCGATCTGCGCATGTGCAGATCGTTCTGCACATGCACAGATAGTTCTACGCATGCGCAGATTGCCCGAACCCAGCTCTTCCAGGTTACAATCTACTCGCCTGCGGCGAGTAGATTGTATTATTTATCGAGCCCTGATCATAAATGTTAATATTCACTTCTGATCTTGAATCAAAGCTATAATAACAGACGTAGATTGTTTGCTCACATCATAAGACCTGAGCAAATATCAGTCATTCTAGTGCTCTAACAATGCAAGTTTGCATTTCAAAGTTTTACTCTGATTTACACAAGTTCCTAACAAGTTCTTAAGAGCCAACCCTAGGTCAGTCAGCCTATGAAATGGTTAACCCTTTCTGTTCATGTGCCACATTTGAATCAGATGTCTAATATTTTAATTTGATGTTTTTGCACCAGTAGATTAATTTCATTGTTGAAAAAATACAAAGTAATAGATATCAAAATAAATTCATTCTGTATTTGTATCTACATCCTCAGTATTTTATAACAAATAGCAGTAAAAGGCACAAGTTTCCTTTGGTTCTATTATGTGATCTAAAATACTGAAGTTACCTATACTTATGTAATTGTCTTCTTTTTTGTTCATCTTGAATACAATAAAAATAAAACCTAATTAAAACCCCAAAATATTTGCAATCACTTGCTCTGAAATAATTTGACTTGCTTAAATGCAAAAAAAAAAAAAAAATGTCAAGGAAACAACACAGGCCTTGGTCCCTCAATTTGTTCTATGCAGATAGAATCCTACAGCCAGGTGATCCTAGAGCAGTCAATGGGGTATATATGTAAAATTCCACCACATGTATCCTTTTGCAGGATTTCGATCATGAAAGTGTCTTATGGAAGAATAGGTTAATTTATAATAGGAGTTACAACCAAAATTATTATATGAATGTGTGAAGCATTTATGCTTTGCTAGGTTTCTCTAGAGATTTTTACTGTAAATTCAGATTAGAATTCTTCATGGGGAGTATAATTAGCACAACACTGTTTAATGTCATGCTTAATGATTTTCCAGAATGTTTTGATTAGAAAATTAATCTGCCTATGTAAGGCAGATGACAGAGCTGTTCAAATAGAGCCCTTTTAATTGCACAGTTGTAGAATCCAATGGTTGCATCAGTGGATCAAAGTACTGTATACCTTGCTACCCAACACTTCGCCTGCTGTGGACCATGCTGAGTAGCAGATGCATTCAAGTGTACCTGGGTAATAAAACCAGCACATCCTGTACCTGTAGATACATTTCTGTATTAATCATAAATCTCTGTATTAATCATTTTCAAATGAGTGTGGATCATCTTCATATAATCTCTGTATTAAGTTTTTAACTTTGTATCAAGTCCTTTTATATAGAAACTTTTCATATAGAACAGGGGTGGCTCTCGCTAGTTCGGAGTTGCATGCCCGGACTGCTTACTGCCGCTCTACAGACGCGCCCCAGTGCCTGGAAGGAGAAGCACATGGCTGCGGCAGGAATTGGGTTAGAGTGGGGAGGAAGGGCTGGAGGTGCCTGGCTCTGGGGGAGAGGGAGGGCATTGGGTTAGTGTAGGGAGGCACCGACAGGGGCTGCCCTCAGTATTCGATTTAGAGATCTATACTACACCTGTTAAATTGAATGCTAGAAGATCGACTTCTCATAAATGTAGACATACCCTTATGAAACTATTCTCCATGAAATTATCTGATTCTCTTTTGGACCCAGTTATACTTTTTGCCTTTACAACATCTCTTCCACAGGCTGAATGTGTGTTGTGAGAAGACATGGTTCCTTATGTTTATCTCAGATCTGCTGTCTATTAAATTTCATTTGGTGACTCTGTTATTTGACTGCCACTGCACGCTGAGCAGATATTTTCAGAGCACTATCCACAATGACTCCAAGAGGTCTTTCTTGAGTGATAACAGCTTATTGTACCACATAGTTTTGTATGTGTCTTTGGGATTACATTTTCCAGTGTGCATTACTTGGCATATATCAATATTAAATTTTCCTGATCTATTCACTAACATTTCTGGCTAGACTTTACATTTAATGAGTAACAGAAGAAGCTCCAGAGTGAGTATCTCCTGTGTACTTTTTAAATAGAATTTATGTTCCCATGCTAAAGTTAAGGATATGAGCAA